TGGCTGCGGCCGACTTCAGAGCGGCACCGCCGCAGTGGGCTGATTCGGTTTTTGTGAGCTCCTGCGGGAGCAGACCTCACTTCGGGGCTACGGAGGCGTGGGGCGCACAGGCGCGGTCGCGAGGGCCACCTATCTCATGGCGCTCCCAGGCCCCATTCTGCCTGGCCCGAAGAAACCGACATGGGGCTGTCCCAGTTGCGGCACGGCGTCGAACTGGGCGAACAGAACCCATTGCAGATGCGGACAATATGCCCCAACATACATCATCCAACGTGCGAGGAAGGCCGCCAAGGCTGAGTTGCAGAGACCTGCGCCCGCCAAGGGAGGACCTGGCAATGGCAAGGGTTTGCCGACCCCCGCACCATTGAGTGACCAGGTTGTGGAGATAAGCGACCTCCCCCAGACGTCACCGCCGACGAGGCAAAGGATCTGTGGGACAAGCTGCGGCAGGAAGGCAGCCTCTCAGCTGGCCCTGACAAGCTCGCCGAGCTCGTCAACAACCTCCATCAAGCCAAGCATCGACGACTGGCTGAGGTGGGGTGTCCATGACCACCTGCCACGGGTCAGTGGCCTCGCAGCCGCTACTATTCGCATTTGTGGCTCCCCTGGGCCACGTGAGGATCAGCTACCGTCGAGGCTCCTGGAGACCTTCAACGCGAACCAAGATCGTGACACCTTGAAGAAGCGATTGTAACATACCTGTGCGCTGGCGGTGTTAGTCTAAGAAATAGGGTATCTTGCCGACGCTGCTCAAGAACTGTCTTCATGGGCGAGTCGGCGAGGATGGAGTTCCACCATCGAACCTGGGCAGGCGACCGAAGGACATCTTCCGTCTGCTGGTGTGGCTGTTTTTGTTCGTGAAGCAGTGGGCCTTCGCCAGCCTGAGGTTGATGGCAAGTGCGTCTCAGGAGTACCGGCGGCCCATCATGCACTTCACGCTGTTGTGGATGTACCTGGTTGGCCTGCTATATATATATATACACACATACCTACAGTATGTCTCCACTGTGCGGAGGGAATGACGGTAATGAGTTCACGGATCCTGGCTGAAATTGCGCAGTCCCTTGCTGGCCAAATTTCGCCTAGCATAATTGGAGGCGACTCGAATAGTGATACGAGAGTGTTGGAATTGTCCAGCTCCCCTGCGCAGGCTCAGGCATCGATCGTTGCGCCAGCGGCTATTACGTGCAGGGCCGCCACGGGTGCACGTGCGATTGATTTCTTTTGTCTCAGTGCAGGTGCACATCGACTGCTCGAGGAAGTCAAAGTTGATGCTAAGTGAGAGAGGAAGCCTCATCGACCAGTTCAGCTTACGATGGCTGCAGCTGGACAAAATCTTCAATTGCTCACCGACTCGGCAGTTTCTAAGTTACCTGCAGCTCCCATTGTTGGTCCATTCCTCGAGGACACGGATTGGCCTTTGGAGCAAAGGTGCGCCGAGCAAGCCATCTTGATGCCGAAGGAAGCCGATGCGGACGCAGCACGTGGGTTCCTAGGAGCGCGAGCGGGTGCGAGTAGCGGCTGTGAGAGTTGGATGGGGTTTTTAGGCCACAGCAGCTCGTCTTCGTGCCGCTTTCAACGACAAGTTGTCGATTGCCTGTTCGGACGCAGGTGTTGGAGACGCAGTTGCTGCGAATATTGGCCGTTCGAGCTCGGCGGACAAGCGCTCTGCAGCTCACCTGGGCGCGGGCCATGTTTGCGGGAGATCGAGGTGTGCAGCTCCTACCAGAAAGAAGGAGATAGGTCGGCGCCGAAGGTGCCAGCAAAGGACGCGTGAGATTGCGCGATACCGGCGCGCCCTACCTACGAAGAAGGCGGGGGGAACTGGGAATAATCTCAGAACTGGAGCTCGACCTGGACTGACGCCTGGAGTCGAGATCACAGGTTTGGCATATGCCGAGTGGCTCTCTCTTCGGAAGCACTATTCCCAGTGTGTGAAGCCGTGCCATGGAGGAACGCCAGCCAGCTCTAAAGTTGTCCTCCTCGGAGACCCAGCTGAGCGTCAAGCCATTGCTCCTGCGTTGCAGTGGTCGCGCATGATCTGAGATGCAGTAGCGCCCCCTACCCCAGCGCTCATCAGTCTGGCTATGTTGGCTCAGTTTCAGCCTCGGTGGCAGATGGCACTTCAAGGGGGGCCCCTTGATGGGTTAGCGTGGTCGTCGTCGCGCGGCCCCTAGGAGAGGGGGGTACTGTGCGTCCGCAGAGTGGGCTGGAAGATATTGCACTGGGGCGCCTGCGTCGACCGCCGTGGCAACGAAAGTCCCTTTCAAATCGCATCTGGTGTGCTCGAGAAGATTATGGCCCAGGCACTACAACGGCAGCGTGAACTGGACCTTGCAGCCAGACGTGGGCCGCCTGAAGATACGCGCCCAAACTATGATTTATGTAGACCTTATTTTCGCGATTGGAACTCGAAGTTTACCTCATTGTATTGTGAAGGCTTTTGCTACTGGAGGATGCTGGACATGTGAGCGCGCGAGGCTTTGAGGATATGATACAGACTGACTTCGTGAATGCGGGCCGCCTGATACTATTCACCATCGACTATTCACGCGTCTTCGGCCAGACGTCGCCGCTGCGAGGAGTGTGTCGGAAGTGCGCGATCTGTTCATCCAGCGCGGCATTGATGAGCAGAACAGTGGTTTCTCCAAGTACGGCTCCTTCGATGTCCTGGCAAGTGGGATTCTGGCGCTGGCGCCTGGCACCGAAGCGAGGGCAGTCAACATGAATGGTGATGACATCGATGTGGGTCCTGGAGGTATGGTACAACATGCATGTGATGGAGCTGCGATGATCGAACTGGCGCCACGTGGACCATTCAGTAAACCAGCACTGCGCGACCTCCAACGAGCAGGATGGGCAATAATACTTATGGACCCTGACGGCCCCGATCCACTCCTCGCTGTGCACGGAGCTGTTCCACCTGCAATGCCTCGGACGTCTGTTGTCGCAGAATATTTGGGACTGGCGCACTGCGGTCAGGTCGCGGACAGGCCCGCCAAGATGCATTTCGATTTCCTTGGCGCAGTGCATGCAGCGAGGAGAACTCCTGAACGCCAGAGAGAGAGAGAGAGAGAGAGAGAGATAGAGAGAGAGAGAGAGAGAGAGAGAGAGAGAGAGAGAGAGAGAGAGAGAAAGAAAGTCGCGCTCTGCGCATGCCTGCGCAAAGGTATTTGGCCAGTCGCTCCCACGGCACGCGCGCTTGCGCGCTGCTGCACACGTGAAAGCACACCACACGAGCGCACAGTTTCAGGAATTCTTCGAAGCAGAGCGCAGAAACATAGATGCGAATGCCGCGGCAGATCGTTTTGCAAAGCAGGCAGTGCTGATGCATCCGTCTGCTAGCCTTGCGTTGGTGCAGAAGTTGGGGGAGGGCGCGATGGCCACAGGGAACTTGGTTCGACTAGCTGCTGCTACGCTCCCTTGCTTCGAACAGGAAGAACGGTGGAATGGGTGGTGCCCGTATTCCGGAGGAGCAGGAGTGTGAGGAAGGAGGGATACCACGACTGGTGTCGTTGTGAGTCAGGCGTGCAATGCCGATGCTGCCTTGCCTTGCTGCAGGACAACGCTAAGGATTAACCCTTGACGGGTTGCCGAGGGACCCCAATTTTTATGCGCGAGTATGTTGCTCTGCCTTTCGGCCACACTCTCCTTGCCGTTCACCAGTCTGGCGAGCGGTGCGGATCAATTTCTGGAGTAATAGTTCGTCCAGCTTCCGTTTGCACTAAGTGCGGTGCGTGGGTCCACCAGCGACGGAGACAGAAACTGAGGGCCCCTTGTGTCAAGCCGACGTCCAACGGTACTGCGATATTGCGGAACCTCCGCAAGGGCGTCGGCCTGCATCGACAGTTGCAGAAGCAGGTTGCATGTGCGGTTCCAGCCGAGAGAATCTCGCCCACACGTCGCGAGCCTCGTATCGAGACCACCCGCGTTTCAGCTCGGCATGAGCCCAATTCGGAGTGCGGCTACGAATCGAGGTTGTCCGCCCTCCGCGAGCGATTGCGCAAGAGAGAGCTGGCGCGAGCGAGAGATGGCCCTGCAGGTGGCGTAAGCGGCAGTGGGTGAGTGACGCTGCCCTGAGCGCCGCCCTGCCAGGGCCACCGCGTCAGTCCCGTTTCAGGTCTGTATTTTTGGCGTGCTTCTTTTTCCTTCTTATTGTTATTTTTATCATTATTATTATATGTATTACTCTTTTTTTCTTAGTATTAGCATTATAATTATTATCATTATTATTATCAGTATTCTTATTATTATTACTACCGTTATTATTAGTATTATTATCATTACCAGTAGTATGAGTATTAGTATTATTTGTATTATTAGTATGTTTATTTTTTATTATTCTTACTATTCTTCTTCTTATTCTTCCTCCTCCTGCTCCTCCTCCTCCTCCTCCCCCTCCTCCTCCCCCTCCTCCTCCTCCCTCCTCCTCCTTTTCCTCCTCCTCCTCCTCCTCCTCCTCCTTCTCCTCCTCCTCCTCCTCAGCCCCCTCCTCCTCCTCTGCTCTCTTCTTTGGGGCCCCTCATGGGGCCTTCCTTGGCCCGCCGTGAGAGCTTTCAGTCGGGCCTGTCCCTCTACAGGAGGAGTGTTCAAAAATAGTCCGGGGACGATGCTTCGATTATTTGTTTGAAAATGTTTGGGTAGTTTTCGGATTTGTTTTAATCGTTCGTCCAAAATCCTCTTGTATGGGGGACACGCCTGACTGAATGAAAGCTTTTTGGGGGCCCTCTGGGGCTGTTGTGTGGCATGGTGGGCCCTCCTCGGGACGTCTTGGCGTGTTTGGGGGTCTCTGTCGGGCCGTTTTTGTGGGAGGACGGCGTGGGCCCCCTGAACGGGAGACGAGAGGCAAGATTCGAAGCAGAAAACACATATGAATATGATTTCTTGGATTCGCGCTGGGCCCCCGTTGGCGGCGCCTCCGGCGCCGCCCCTGGCGCGCTCCGCGCGCCGGGGAGGGGTGTCCAGCGCAGAATCAAGAAACCCGCGCAGAGGGCCCAAAGTTAATGTTTATGGCGTTTGTTCTTCTTCTAAAGATAGGGGACATAACAGCGAGGGCACTCAATAGACACTGGCGTGACAGCTGTCCAGCAGCACCTTCGCAGCCTGGTTTGCAGCGGCGCAGGCGCAGTAGCGGCCGTACCGTCATCGATTCACGATGCTTTGGCCTGTGGGGAGGAGAGTATCCTTCCTGCAAGGCTTCCAAAGGTCTTGGTTTGTCAAGCGGTAGAGCACGGACTGCGCAAAAAATATTATCAGTCATTCTAGACGCTTCGCGTAACCCCACCAGGCTTTCCAGAAACGATGCTGAGGCGAGTTGCTCTGACCAGGGATGTGGAGGAGCATGCAGTGAAATAAATAAATGCTGGGGAAGCCGTCATACCCCAAGCGGGGGAGGAGGAGGAGGAGAAGGAGGAGGAGGAGGAGAAGAGGCCGGGAAATTGTGGAGTCGGTCTGGGTCCCAGAGGAGTTTTTACGATCTTTCAGGCTGCTCCTCATCATTGCCCTTATATGTTCTTTCTCGCTCTCTCTGTCTGTCTCTCTCTCTCTCTCTCTCCCTCTCTTTCTTTCTTTTACACACACCTGTATATGTGTGCACCTCTTTCTCTAATATATACCACTGTTATGCCAGCATCTTCACAACAAATGCCCCCCGAGCATGGTCTTCGGAACTCTAGCCCTGTGCCACGCGGCATGGGGTTGGAATTTCGAGGACCATGCTCGGGGGGCATTTTTTTGTACCTTCGGACTTTATGAGATGTTTGTTCATTTCCAGCGTTATCTTCCTTCTCTTCTCTTTCAGACCCTCTCTTCTCATCTCTCTCTCTCTCTCTCTCTTCGTGTTTTTCTTCGTATTTATTCGTCCCTCTCTTCTCATCTCTCCCTCTCTCTTCGTCTCTCTTTTTTTGTTCTCTCTATCTCTCTCTCTCTCTCTCCCTCTCTCTTTTTCTCTATCCTTTCCGTTTCGCCAGCCTTCTAGCATTCATCGCCCCCCCGAGCATGGTCTTCGGAATTCTAGCCCTGTGCCACACGGCATGAGGTTGGGATTTCGAGGACCATGCTCGGGGGGGCAAGTTTTTTTTTTGACCTTCGGACTTTATGAGGTTTTTGTTCATTTCCAGCGTTATCTTCCTTATTCTCTTCTCTTTCAGACCCTCTCTTCTCATCTCTCCCTCTCTCTTCGTATTTTTCTTCGTATATCTTCGTCCCTCTCTTCTCATCTCTCCCTCTCTCTTCGTATCTCTCCTTCCCTTTCTCGGCTGTGAGGGAGCAGCTGCGAGAAAGAGCAGGAGGAGCAGGAAGAGGAGGAGGAGGAGGAGCAGGAGGAGGAGGAGGAGGAGGACGAGGGGGGAGGAGTTTGAGCAAGAAGATGCGGGAAAGCGTAAATCTTGAATTGGCATCGTGCTTGGTTGCTGCGGGAGGGGGAGATATCTTCAGAGAGCTCGGGGAGGGGGAGAAAGGGGACGAGAGGAGGGGCATGAAGATTACTCGGTTTCGGATGCTGTGCGTTGCATTCGCATTGCGTCGCATTGCATTCGCATTGCATGTGCGTTGCATTCGCATTGCGTTGAATTGCAGTCGCATTGCATGCGCATTGCAGTCGCATTGCGTTGCAATCGCATTGCGTTGCAATTGCGCTGCATTGCATCCGTGCTCTCGTCACGTCTTGTTCCGTCGACGTCGGTCCGAACCCTGCGCTTCATGCCCACATTTTCCAGCCGCGCTGCAACCAATGGCGCCCAAGGGCCGACCGCGCTCCCAGAAGACGCTGGAGGAGGTCCTGGAGGCGCGCAGGGCGAAGTTGAAGAGGCGCCGCGAACGGTACCCCCAGAAGAAAGTCGCTGAGACGAGCGCGCGGGCGGAGGTATTGGACGGCCGATTTATTGAGGCAGCCAGGGCAGAACGGCTTAGGCAGCGAGTGCACCATGTGTCGACACAGCGGCGCGAGCGGCCTCTGAAGCGACAACTTGAACACGCCCAGCGGGCAGTCGACATGGCCGGCAGCGCCCGCACGCGGCCTGCAGCAGTAGCCAACACGTCCTACACCAGCCGTAGTAGCGCGGGCGGCATTCGGGAGGTAGTTACTAGTTCTAGGGGCGCACACAATTCGGCCGAAGGCGTAGCAATCTGGGAAGAGGCCTCACCAGAGCCCTCGCCCAGCGAGCCGCCCCCAGACCCCTCCGCCTTTTCAGCGTCCCCGTGAGGACCTTGTACGCTTAACGTGCAAACAGTGTTCCTGCTCTTGCTACTGCTTCTGCCCCTGCTCCTGCTACTGCTCCTGCCCCTGCTCCCGCTTCTCCTCCTGCCCTGCCCCTGCTCCTCTCCCCCAGAGCCTCCTCCTC